CGCTAGGGAAGGACGCCCCTGAGGCCTGGAGCTCCCAGCCCTTGAAGGCACTTGGGCGAGGGGCGATGTGAATGGGGGGAGGTCTGGGTGCACAGAGGAACAGGTCTGCACTGTCCCCATTAAAGCTGCGTTCTCAGGCACTACCTTGCCCTGTCTTCCGTGGGTCTGGGAAAGCTCAGGAGCTGTGTGCAGGGTCCCTGGGCCCAGTCCTGGTGTGCCCCCCAGCACCTCACCAGTGCTGCAGGGTGCTTGGGCCAGCATGCGGCCTTGAGGGGGATTGCCCATGGCATCCTGGGCTGGCTCAGTGGGCACAGGACAGGTGGGCAGGGCTGCTGCTTCTGCAAGTTGGCTTCCATCTCATACCATGTCACCTCTGCCTGCACATGCGCACACATCCCCCCCCGGTGCTGCCTCTCCTCTGCAGACTCCGTCCCAGCACCAGAGCCCACAACGGGGAGAGAGGGGCGGCAGGGGGAGGCTGCTCCCTGCGGCGCGGGGGGCCGCAGCGCCGAGGCTCTGGGGGCCGAGACGGTGGGCATGAGCAGCCTGTTCACAGCCGCAGGAAGCACGGTCATGGGTGTGACAGCCCTGCAACCACCTGTGGGGCATGGGCGCTGCCCTGTGCCCTGCTGCTGCCCCCTGCTCATCCCCTGGGGCCAGGGGCCTCCCACAGGCCAGGCACCCCATCTCCTGCGCTGGGCGCATGGCCCTGGGATGAGCAGGTGCCCAGGGCCACACGAGCCCTCAGCCCAGGCCAGCAGGGCAGGGCAGCCTCCAGGCCCCCATGGCCCTGCTCAGTGCAGCTGGGCAGTGCCCGCATCGCAGCAGCAGGAGCCAGTGCCTGCCAAGGGCACCATGTGCTGCCTGGCCCAGTAGCCAGGAGGCTTTTTAGAGCAGGGTCAGGTCAGAACTAGCACGGGGCCAAGTGGCCACGTTGCTGCTGGCGGTGGGGAGGCCAGAGCAGTGTGGCTCCCGCTCACACAGCCTCCTGCACTGCCAAGCCAGATAGGTGGACAGTGGGATGCATGTGCCTGCTCACCACCCACCCCAACACCCTCACCCAGGGCCCAGCCACACACTGGGCTGGCCGGACACGCCTGCTCGGGGGCCAAGGGGCAGCTGGAGGGCGACACAACACAGTCCAGGTGCACCCAGGATCAGTGCTGGTGCTAGTGTGCCCTAGCCCTGCAGCCCCCCCCCGGCCCAGCCCCACAGATGGCCCTGCACCCTCCTCCCTGGCCCCTGCCTGCCCCCACGCCAGCCTGAGCAGGAGCAGCATGGGGCTGGCTGTTGCAGCGGTGCCCCACAGGAGGCCTGGTGCCCCCTGCCCCACCTCCAATCCTGGTCCAGACCAGAGTCCCCAGCCCAGCCTGAGCTGCTGTGTGAGAGCTCAGGCTGCACTGGGTGCTGGAGCGATGGCTATGGCACAGCCTCCCCTGCACTAGGATGGCAGGTGCCGGGGCTGGGGGAGAGGCTCTGGGGGGCAGGTGGGTCTGGGGCGGGTAACAGGGACAGTGGCTGCACTGTGGAGAGGCTGTGGTACCTCTGGCGCTGGGTTGTCTTGCAGGGGGTGGGCACTGGCAGCCAGGGTGCAGCAATGGGCAACTGGAGCCTGCTGGGGTGGCTACTGGAGCGGACACAGGAGCTCTCCACAGCCGCGGGCCAGGTGTGGCTCACTGCGCACTTTGTGTTCTGCATCCTGGCGCTGGGCGCAGTGGCCGAGCGGGCTGGGTGGGCGAGGCGGCCGGCTTTGCCTGCAACACGCAGCAGCTGGGCTGCCAGGGTGCCTGCTACAGTGCCACCTTCCCCCTGTCCCAGCTGTGCTTCTGGGCACTGCAGATCATTCTCATCTCCACGCCCAGCCTCGTTTACCTGGGCCACAGCCTGCAGCTGGCACAGCTGAAGGGGCTGGGGCCACGGTGCTGGGGGCTGGGGCAGGGCACTGGGGACATGCCAAGGGCCCAACTGCGCACCTGTGCTGGCACCGTGGTGTGCAAGGCACTGCTGGAGGCGGGCATCAGGGCAGGGCAGCGCGCACGCTATGGCTTCCGGCTGCGGCCCCCTCTCCTGCTGCAGCCGCTGGCCCTGCCACAGCACTGTCCGCTGCGACCTGTTGCAGACCACCGAGAACCCATCTCACGCTGGCTGTGGCTGGCCTGTCCCTGCTGCTCACTCTGGTCGAGCTGTGCCACCTGGGCCTCGCTGGGGCCCACGGCCAGCAGCCCCCCAGGCAACTGCAAGGCCCCAGGGCTCTGCTGGCCCAGCTTCGCGTTTCCTGATAAGCGAGATGGGTACAGCCCCCCCGGCCTGGCTGTGCTTCCCTGCCCCTGCCCCTCTGGTGCCAGGCTGCCACAGCGCCCCGGGGCAGCCCCAAGGCCCAGGGGGCACAGTGGCAAGAACAGCTGCCTGGGCCTGGTCCCAGGGGAGCGAGTGGTCCCAGCACTGGGCAGCACCCCCTGCAACCCGGCCCATTCAACACCCGTGCCGGTGCTGCACTGGCTGGGTGTCAGGGTGCAGCGCTGCACCCCGCAGACCTGCCCCAGGCCTCGCCGTGTGCACAGCCCGCTGCGTTTCCATGGTTACCCTTTGGTCTCCAGGTTTCTTTGCCAGGAAATACTGGTCCCGTTGCGCAGCTCCAGGGCCAGGCTGTGCAGCTCCGCTCAGCGCCGGCCTGCACCCAGACAGCCCTGCTGCAGCCAGGCAGGCCTGGAGCGCAGTGCAGGGCAATCCTCTGGGAAGAGCCCTGCTGTAGCCAGGGCCAGCCTTGCACCATGGCCCTGGCAGCAGTGCTGCTGGGCCCAGGCCAAGTGAGGGAGCCTCATTGCACTGGGCAGGTCAATCCCCACTGCCCCTCCTGCTGGATGTGCCCTGCCTGACACGTCCCCCAAGTTGGGCAGGGACTGGGGAGACACCAGGCAGGGCTGGCTGTGAGCTAGGACTGGCCCTTTGCTCCCACCCGGGATCCGGCACTGCGGGACCCCAGCAGTGCTGGGGTGTCCTCCACAGCTCCCTCCTCTGCCCACAGGCTATGCCTCCCAGCCAGAGGCACCTGTACTGCACGGGTAGCAAGTGGTGAACACACGCACGGGGTCTGCGAGGCTGGCTGTGCCAACCCCACAGGGAGCTCAGCTACCCCTGGCACCACTGCGGAGCAAGGCGCTGGGTCTCCTCTAGGCCCAGGGAGCCCCAAGTCACAGGGACCAGGGCTGGCGCTAGCACTGCCGCCGCCTGGCAGCCACGGGGGCACCCCTGGGCCCACTTCAGCACGGACGGAGGGTAGGTGGGACGCCCCGTGGGACTGAGCAGCAGCCCATGCCCCACACCAGGCGGCTACAGACCCAGGCTGCAGCGGGCAGTTTGTAGGGAGGGGGCCAGGGCACCATGCTGGGGGGAGCTGGGGCTGTCGGTGGGTGACCCCCCGGCTTGAGCAGGCCAGTGCCAGCCATGCTCGGGCCACAGCCACGGGAGGCGAGCTCTGGGGCGCGGTGGCAGGAGCGATCTCGCTGCTGCTCAGCTGGGCTGCGCTGTGCGCCGAGTCAGTCCCCTCCGGCCCAGCACAACCAGCCCAGCAGACCCAGGTTTCTGCGTCTTTATTGAAATGAATGGTTCCAGACACAGGGTTCGTCCTAGCGCCCCGTTATCACTACGACAAGACCGGTGAGTGCTCACGCTTGACATGGACACAGAGGACAGGGCCCACCAGGCCCAGGACAATATGTACAGGCTCGTCAGGCAGTGCCGAGCCCCACTGACAGCTCGGAGGATTTCAAACACCACAAAGGGGTGGGAGCTGGGGCAGCAAAGCGGGGGCTGAGCAAGCGGAGACCCGGCCAGGAGCCACCACCCGCTTGCAGAGTGCAGGCCAGGGGCTTGGGCCAATGTGGCTAGCGGGGAGATGGGTGGAGAAGTGGCCAGCCAGAGCCTGCCGCTCTGAGCATGCGAGGGGGTCTGATCCCCTGATCCAGCAGGTGCAGGGGCATCCCTGCTCCCCCTGGGCAAGGGGGTGCCATCAGCCCCCACCTGGCCTGCAGAATGCCCACCTGTGCCCCAGGCTGCACGCAGAGGATGGGGCTCCATGTCACAGGAGGAGACAACAGCCAGGCTCGGGCCAAGGCGTACCCTGCCAGCACCCACTGTCCTGGCAGGTAAGGCTCCAGCACCAGAGCGGCCCCTGCTCCCTTCACCCCTGGCTGGGCTGCCCCAGGCTCTGGGTCAAACCCCTCTCCTGTCCAGCAGAACCAGGCCAGCCTCACCCTGCAGAGCCCATCCCTGGGCCCCACATTTGGGGCAGGGCTCTTGTCCCCAGCTGGGAGCTTGCCACTCAGGCAGCGAGCAGCCCAGGGGCCGAGAGCCTCCAGCAGAGGCTGCTGGGCCCAGCCCAGCCTCCCACCCCTCGGCTGGCCTTGGCCTCTCCATCGTGGCAGCCACATGACACATTGGGGGGTACGGAGGAAGGGAGCCAGGTTGGGAACAGCCGCGTGGAGCTGCCTGCCGCAGCCCTGGCACGGTCAACGGGGGTGGTGCCAAGGCAGGGTTGTCAGCAGCATGTCCTTCGGGCTCTTGGCTCCCCTGGGCCTGCAGCCACTGGGAAGACAGGAAGGGGCAGGGCAGGACCCTGCTGCAGCCAGGCCCAGGCTGGGAGGCAGCGTGCAGGTAGGGCTTGGATGCTAGGGCCCACTGGGGCCTCGGCACTAGCATGAGGCAGGGATGTCTCAGTCTGATACAGATAAGCAGGACAGCGCCCTGGTCTCTGAGGCAGGGAGCAGCACCAGCCCAATGCCAGGCCACCCCACTCACATCCCCACGGGGGGGTGGGCGGCAAGAGCCAGGGGGACGTGGCTTCCCCGCACAGAGCACCGTGGGCTGGGCTCAGTCCATGTCGTCGTCCAAGCCGCCGGCCCGGCTGTGCTCCTCGTAGATCTCGCGCACAGCCAGGAGGCGGTTCAGCATGCTCTCCAACATGCTCCGGTCCATGGGGATGACCGAGTACCAGAGTGGCGACTCCGCGATGCACGACCGCTCTGGCTGCAGGTAGAACACGTCGCTCCGGTTCCGCAGGCTCTCGGGACTGCAGCAAGAGGGGAGTGGCAGGGTGAGGCCTGGCTCTGGCCCCCTGTACAGGCCCTGCCTCTCCCTCCCTGCCCCAGGGCCCAAGACCTGGCTGACCAGAACCTGCCCCCACCCCACCCCACCCCACCCCACTCAGGGCACGCTGAGCCTTGGCTTCCCCACCTGCTCCCTATCCATTGTCAGGAGCAAAGGAGGTGGCAGAGGCATGGATGAGCGTTCAGGGCACCCTCTGCCTCCTGCAGAGCAAGGACCCAGCAGCTGGGTGTGGGCTTCTCTTCTGGGGCCCTGGACAGGCTCCGTGGTGGAGGGACAGCAGGAGGGCACGGGTCACCCCCACCACCCCAGCAGGAGGGGAGGAGATGAGCTCTCTGCCCCTATGGGTAGCGTTGCACAGGCCCTGGCAGGAAGGTCAGGGCTGGGGCGAGCCGGCTGCATGCCGCAGGGCAGGCCGGGGCGTGGGGGACAGTGGGGGGCAGGGCCTCACCATTTGGAGAGATAGAATTCGTAGAACTTGACGGGACAGCGGAGGGGGTTCATCCGGTTCTCGCGCTGCTCCAGGATGGGCATCTCCTCCTCGCGCTTTCGCTTCCCCAGGCCTCCACCTGCGGGGGGAGAGGCTGGAGTCAGGGCTGGGCTGGGCTGGGCCGGGCTGGGCAAGGGCGCTGGGGTGGGGGCCAGGGCTGTGGTCCAGTACCTACCTCGGCCTTTCTTCTGCTTGGCAGGGGCAAAGTAGCGGATGCTGATGACCTTGGTGGTGCCTCGCGGCGTGGTGCACTTACGGGCCTGGCGCACCACATTGGTGAAGGAGAGCTGCATGTGCTCGTCTGCTGTCTGCAGCCCAAAGAACTTGGTGTTGAAGAACATGAGGGTGTTGAGCAGCACGAAGGGCGAGTACACGCCCAGCTGCTTGCACTCCCATAGGTGCTCCTCCTCCACGCGCGAGAACACCGTGTCTGTGGACACAGGGAACCAGTCACTCGCTGTCCCACAGTAGGGCTTGAAATGGCCCAGCCCAGCGCAGCAGCACAGGGAGGGGGTTGCAGCTCACAGTCCACACCAGGCACAAGGGACCCCAGGCTGGGCCTGTGGCTGGAAGCACTCAGCCCCTCGCTGTGGGACAGGGAGGGCAGGGAAGTGTAGGCATGGGCAGATGTGGGGAGTTCTGCCGCTGTCGTTCTCATCCCGGCTGACTGACGCCAGCCCCACAGCCCTGCCGCAAGCCACAGCATGTGACACTAATCCTACAGCCAACCACAAAGACAGCTGGGAGGTGATTGCACATGGGGCCAAGAGGGCAGAGGTAGAGGGAGGGATCAAGCCATGGGCAGGATGGATACACACACCAGTTCTTGCCACCACATGGCAGGTGAGTGGATTGCCAGCACTGCAAGTCTGGGCCAGGTGGCACGACCACTGGCTTGGCACATGTGGAAAGGACCCAGACCACGAGGGATGGGATGGCCACTGGCTAGGATGGACACAGGTGCCTGGACAGGAGCTGGGCACCTGGGCAAGTTTAACTCCCACATAACTCTGGGAACTAGCACAGCGGAGCCAGCCAGTGAGGCCGCAGTGCTCTGGGCCGGGAACTGCAGAGGCCAGAGCGTGGCAGCCAGGTGTCGGGGCACTGCTCCACTGGGTGGTTTCCAGCCAGGCCGTACACGCAGCCAGAGCTCCATCACCAGCCCCCTGCAAGCACAAGGCACTGAGGACCAGTGGGCTGGCTCTGGTGCTAGACCCTGGCAGCATGGCGGCTGCCTCCCCACAGCAGGAAGGCGGAGGGTCAGGGCAGGCTTGTGCCTTGGCCGTGGGCCCCTGGACCACCAGTCTTGCTTCTCAGCCAGGCTGGTGGTCCAGGAGCCCACAGCCAAGGCACAGGCCTGTCCTAAGGGTGCTGCCCAACTGGGGCCAGGTCCAGCCTGGCCCATGCGCAGCCCTGCAACACGTACTGTTGGGCAGGATCGTAGGCTGCCAGCCGCTCAGGGACTTGTTCAGCTCCTGCACAAAGGTCAGGTAGTAGAGGTCTGTAAAGATGTTCACCATGCGGTTGTTCTCCAGCAGGTACTAGAGGGAAGGGAGCACAGGTCAGGCCGTGCAGAGGGACCTGAATGGCCACCCTCCTGGGGCTGCAGGGCCCCCAGCCCCAGGAAAGAGCCCGGCCTGAAGGGTCCCTCAATGGGGCTGGAGGGGCTACAGGCTGGGAGGCTGCCTCACCTGCTGGATGCCCAGGCAGAGGTAGTAGATGCTGTCCGGCTCGTAGCGCTCACCGTTGGGCCGCGTTATCTCCTTGACAAACTGAGCGAGGCCGTAGTTGAGCTCAGCTGCCGTGCAGGCCAGGATGTCCTCCTTGATGCGCATGGGCTTGGCTGTGGGGAAAGCAGCACTGGTCTCAGTCACAGGCACTTGGGGCAGGGAGCACAGAGCTGCCCCAGGCCCTGGTGCTGGTGCTGGAATGGGTCTGGCACAGGCTGG